GCATTCCTAGCAGCAGCCAAGGGTTACAAGCTTATAATTACAATGCCAGCTTCAATGAGTCTTGAAAGAAGAACCATCCTTCTGTCCTTTGGAGCTGAGTTGGTTCTGACAGATCCTGCAAAAGGAATGAAAGGGGCACTTCAAAAAGCTGAAGAGATATTAGCCAAGACTCCTAATGCCTATATACTTCAGCAATTTGAAAACCCTGCCAATCCTAAGGTAATCAATAAATTTGTTCTGTAACTGTAGCAGTGGATGCTTGACAACTTGAGTGACACATTTTGATATTGTAGGTGCACTATGAAACTACAGGTCCAGAGATATGGGAAGGCTCAGGAGGGAAAGTTGATGCACTCGTTAGTGGTATAGGTACCGGTGGTACCATAACGGGTGTAGGGAAATTTCTCAAAGAGCAGAATCCCAATGTAAAGGTTAGTTTTTAAATTTGTATACATTTAAATATTATTTAACAAAACTCTGTGCTTGTAATTTTTCCTGAGGATGGAGAGATGTATTTTGTTATGGTTTACAGCTGAAGCGATCCTTCCTGTGATTGTTTTTATTTATTTATGTACTTATTTTATTTTTATGAAGCTATATGGTGTGGAACCAGTTGAAAGTCCAGTGCTCTCTGGAGGAAAACCTGGTGAGTTACAAACATTCTTTGCTCCACTGTGATGAAAACTGACAATATGTGCATTTTGAATTATTTTTCACTCCACCCACAAAAAATATTGCATGACCAGTTGATTCTTTGTTTAGTTTTCTATTTATTCATTATTGAGTGATTATTTTACTTTTCCATGTTTTTTATGTGAGAAATTAAAGTAGTGATTGTATTGGAATTGTTGTAGCAGCTGTTTTTTTTGTTTTGATCTGCCTGCTCATAGTATTAAAAGGAGATTGTCACAAGTTTTATTTTTATTCAGGAGAACATTGATTTTATGTATCCCTGCGCTGCGACATTTTGTGGTCACTTGATAGACCAGAGCGACTTTTGGTGATATAGAAAGCCTTGAGTACTCTTTTAGGGGCAGGGTACTCCTAAACTAGCATCTCAGATGCCATCAAATGGAAAAGGAAATCTAACTATTACAACTATGCCAATGGTGTGAATAACATAAGGTATCTAAAGGGTACCTGTAACCCCAAGATAATAAAAAGACCTACATAAATCATGATTAACTATAATATCAAAATTTTAAATATTAATTTCATGTAATATGAAATATTAATTAAATCAAAACAGAAAATCTTAAGATGATAATATTTTCATTGAGCATAAAATATTAAAAGTAAAATTAATGAAAAAATCTCTTATATAGGAGGAAATTATCAAATTTCAAAGAAAAAAGAAATAACCCCTAAATAAAAGAATGATCCTTAAATATAGTTTTCCACTTTGCAGCACTTGAACTATCACATGCTTTCCTTAAAGAAATTTAATATTTTCATTCTCCGAAAGTTATCTCTCTAAATTATAGGTCTGTTCCTATATGTTTTCCCTTCGGTAGTTACCTATTCACGCTGAATGGTTTTTCTTTATGACAATAAATGAGTGTGATAAGAACACGTTCTTTAAGCTGCTACTGATAAGCAGATTGCATTGTGAACATCTAGGTCCACACAAGATTCAAGGGATTGGTGCTGGTTTTGTCCCTGGAGTTTTGGAAGTTACTCTTATAGATGAAGTTGTTCAGGTAAGCTTTTAATGCTTTTTGAACGATCATATATTTTTCAGGACTTAACAGAATTATACATAAGGAAATATTATATTTATAACCTTATTTTAAAGTTGTTTGAAAATCCAATGTGCAGTTTTAGGAAACAATGTGAAACTCCTGTGTTTATTATTTCTAATGATCATTGATAAATAGCTTAAAGTTCTTAACATATGGCTCGATACTGGGTGTTTCTTGTTTTGATATCATTTTGCTGATATTGATGCATTGTGTCTACTCTGACTTGAGCAAAGCCGATTTTTGCAACTAAACAAGGCATTTCATGTTTAGGTGCATATTGTTTATTATTTTTTTGGTACCAAATAAATGTTGTAAGGAAGTTATGGTTCGCATTGAGTTAGTTTCTGCTATACAATTGTCCTACAAATTTCTCCCTCCCTGCGCAAGTCCTGAGTTGGGAAACTTTTGAATGGCACCTTTGCATCACCTTAAATTTCTTTTGGACATTTTTTACAGTTTACTATTTGTTAAACAATGGATGTATGAATTGACAGGTATCAAGTGATGAAGCAATAGAAACTGCAAGACTTCTTGCACTTAAAGAGGGCCTATTTGTAAGTTCTAAACCTCTAAAATAGCAAAAATTGAGCCTATTCCTCTAATAGCTGGCTATCTATTTTTGTCTCTTTTATGATCCATATTTGATTTTTAAGAACAAATAAGATTACTTATAGGTTATATATTTATAAATAATACCTGTACAATTTGTTGAACCTATACTTGAAACATTACTGTAGGTTGGAATATCATCTGGAGCTGCAGCTGCAGCTGCCATTAAGATAGCAAAAAGACCAGAAAATGCTGGAAAGCTTATTGTTGTAAGTTTATCATCTACCTACAGAAATGTCTGTCAAGAACTTGCAACAGAGCCCCGTGTTTTTGTCAATATATTCTCTTGTTTGCTTTGGTTTTGATTGATGCAACTGAAATTATGGGTCAGGTGCATTATATTAGAAGTTTCACTTAGCGGACAGTTCTGTTTTGTTATGGTCAGGTTATTTTCCCAAGCTTTGGTGAGAGGTACCTGTCATCCGTGCTGTTTGAGTCAGTCCGACGGGAAGCTGAGAGCCTTACTTTCGAATCCTGAATTCAAGTGGTAGATTTTAACTGGCGAAGCAAATGATCCTTGTGATACAGGTTGCGATTCTCAAATAAACATTACTTCAGAAGAAAAATAAAGGAAAATTTGTTACTTATGCAGCAGACTTCTGAAATTATTTAGGATGCCACTTTATTAATGGAATATGATCTAATGTTTCTATTTTTTATTCTCTTCTGATCTTGATGGATGAATGTATTCAACATCTAGAATAATAGCTATAAAAATGACCTTTTCAACAAGTTAAATTTTAGTGGATGCAAAGATTTTCAAACTCAAGAATCTATATAAATACGTAGAATTTTTGTAAACTCGAAAACTCCCAAGTGTTTAGTTTACCTAATATAAAAGGAAATCTATTGATGACATATTTGCATAACATAAATTCTCTTAAAAAACAACAATTCAATATTTCCACTTCATAATAAAGTATGATAGTACATTAAAACTAAATAAGATTAAACTACATGGATGATTAAATATGTGAAACCTCATAAACCCAAATTTTTGGCATAAAAATAAAGAAGGGATGGTTGGGAAATAGAAAACCGTCTAACTTGCATATTCAATAACCGTCCTCATCCTATAAACAGCCAGTAATTTCATGGGATTGTTGCATCCCTAAATTGTGACTCCTCATTTGAGAGAGTTGGAAGGGCGTGTACAACTTGACGAAAGCATCCTAAATCTTTTTTGCGGTATTCTATGCAACAATGCAATAATGGACAAAGCTGAACCTATCATTACAAGGTGCAAATGAGCTATAGCATTGTGATCCATCTCTTTCCATTTTCATCAGAGATATCCCCAGGTCTACCTTCAATTTTCATAGGAAAAAATCACTCCCTCTGTACCTCTTTCTCATATTTCCAAAACAGTGAATCACTAATTAATACACTTAAATATCAAGTTTTTTCTTGTGAGAACTTTCCTAAATATATACTTTCACACTATATATCCTGAAACAAGAAAAAACTGTTTCTCTTATGTGGCAGATCAAACATACTAAGAATTTTTTTTCCAACATGGTATTAATGTGCATCACAGTAAAATAATATCAAGAACCTATTAGCTTACTACTATTGGGTTTCAGAGTAACATAATAATATACCGCACTTCAAATTAAACATGTGAAAAATAGGAATTGACACAATATTTTACATGGAGAACCCTCAATTGATAAGGGATCAAAGAGCAAACTATTTTCACGAAGTGGAAGAGAAACTACATCATCTCTCAATATACAAGGAGAGAACTATTACACACTCTCTCATAATAAAAGAATACAGTCCCTTAGAACATTTTTGCTTCTAACTCTCTCAAATGAGGAGCTATAATTTTGGGATGCATCAAGCTCATGAAATGGCTAGCTATTTATAGCCAAATGATGAGCATGGTTATTAAATGCAATGTAGAAGTTTCTCCTTTCCAACGAACTCATTGGCCTAGCATGCATACATGTAAAATTTTTCAACTATCCATTTTTTACTTTGATGCCACAAAATTGACTTTATGAGATTGTACTAGTTTCCATTCAGTTGCACCAACTGCACTTGTATCTCTTCACAAAAATTGTGAATCATTTATTCATACCTCAATATGGTATCAGAAGCTTTAGCTTAACACAACATTCATATTGATCCCCCACCGTGTCTTCCAACTCTGGATCATCCACAACCATTCCAATTGATGATTAATCCCATCTTGGCTGCTGACTCCCGATGCATATACCATCATGTATATATGTGTACAGTGAAGATACCTTATGTGTGTCCGTGTGAGACCAAACTGCATGGTCCATAGATTTTCATTGTCCACACCAGCTGGACCTTGATCCAGCTCTGGAGCAAAACTGTAGCAGCTACAACGTTTTCCATAAAACACTTTCCACACATTTGCCATCCTTGTATGAGAACTCCTTGTAACATCATCAGAAGTTGAACACCCTGAAATCCACTCACAACGACACCGCAGCCCCTAAATTAAGGCATGATCCGAACCACACCAAGGTATAAACTCAGTCACTGAATTTTATAGGAACAATGGTAACAATCAGATAAAATTGTCTGTTTCCCGCCTCAACCACTAAAAAATATGTAATGCCCCCTCCAATGCATAAGATTTCATCAGTACTAACTACAGCCCAGCACACGCATAAATCACCCAGCACTCCCTGAATCCCTTACTGTCAAACTCCGCCACGTAAACACCCTGACTAAGCACCTGTGCAGAATGGCCACACATGTAGATGGTACATCAGCAGCCAAATCCCTGCACAGTTTATTTAGATACACCATGAAAGTAACAACTGATCGGCATTCACCATCAACATGGGTAAGGAGTATCTGTCGTGTTCCTTGCAGTAGATTCTGTGAGGCATATGAAACAGATAAAATAATGGGAGTATAGAATTTTACCAATAATCTTTACAAGAACACCAACCATCCACAAAGCGATGAAAACGATTATTATCTCTCACAATAATTTCTCTGCCAACAATTTTTGAGATGAACTTAATGGCACTATGACAATCTCCACAAATCCTAAGATTTTTTGTAATACGTATGGGCACTCCAGAAGGGAGAGCAATGAGGCCAAAAGCTAGAGCAATCTTCTCACTGTGGTACCATACTTCCGAAGCCTTCTCTTCTTCTTCTAAATCAAAGAGTGATAGATTGGTATCAGGAACATACCCAGCTTTCTTCATCTCCCCTCTAAGCTTAGCTAGCATTGCTTGAATTGCAGAGTTCATTTCATGAGAACTATCCTTTGCTTGGAAAACATGGACTTTATTTTTTACAGCAACCCAACTATAACCAACATTTTTTTTAATACCAATATCTCTCATTTCCTTCCTGACATTAGTGGCTTCTTCCCATCTGCATTCAGCGATTACAAGCATTAGCAAAAGAACCATAAACAATGTTAAGTCAGAAGGCCAAGACAGTTTTAGTTTTAGCTAAATATGTTAAACAAACTGCAGAAAAATGAAAACCACCACAATAATACAAGCCTTATCCTACTAGATGAAGAAAAATGAAAAAGAAATTAAATTATTTTGAGACTATTTAGGATGGGACAGCTTATTCTACCAAATAAAATGAACAATTCAAGTAACTTGTCAATTCTATCCATAGAAGGAAATTAGTTATCATAATTTTGAATTATTACCTGCCAGCAGATGCAAGCATGTTGGAAAACACTACATGGTTGCCAGAGTCATCAGGATCAAGCTGGAATAATTTTTCAGCTGCAATTTTCCCCAACTTTGTTTTCCCATGCATCTTACAAGCCCCAAGTAGAGCTCCCCACACAGATATAGTTGGAAGAATTGGCATTCTTTTAATAAATTCATATGCACGATCAACTAAACCAGACCTCCCAAGAAGGTCCACAACACATGCATAATGCTCAGCACCCGGTTCTATTCCATATCTCCCTCTCATGGATTCAAATATCTGCAAGCCTCTCTCCACTGCCCCTGCCCTACTACACGCAGACAATACGGAAACTAGTGTAACATAACTCGGTGCTATGCCACAGGTGCCCGATGTCATCTCCACAAATAAACTCAATGCCATGTCAACATTGCCCAAATGTGCATATCCACCTATCATTGCATTCCAAGTAACTAGGTTCCTCTCAGGCATTTCTCTGAATACTTGCTCTGCGTTCTCTATACCTCCGCATTTTCCATACAAGTCAACAAGTGCACTCCCAACAAATATATTGTCCTCAACGCATGCTTTAACAGCAAGAGCATGGACTGACCTGCCCAATTCAAGCCCTCCAAGCTCAGCACATGCACTGAGTACACTCGATATCATGAAATCCGTTGGCTCAACTTCCTTCCTTGCCTTTAGGAAGACCATACATGCTCTCTCTTCCTCGTGGTTTTGCACTAGAGCAGCAAGCATAGAGCACCAAGAAACAACATTCCTCCTGCCACTGCCAATTCTACTAAAAACCATTTCAGTAGACGCGATGTCCCCACATTTTCCATAGAAATTAATAAGCCCATTTGAAACAGAAACATCCTCCCGATACCGGCTCCGAACTATAAATCCATGTAACTGACTCCCGAGCTCCAAACCCCCCATGTCAGCACACGCATTGAGAAACACACAAAACGTTATCGCATTTGGCTCTCCACCCACACAAAGAAACTTTTTAAACGCAGCAACAGCATCCAAACTCCGGTCATCCTGAACTGCATTGGACATATACGCATTCCACGTGGCCAAGTTTCTGTGCGGCATTTCGTCGAACATGTTGCGAGCCTCTGCTCTAAGGCCGGTTTTGCTGTACATGTCAAAGGCGCTACACCCCACAAACACGTCCAATATATTGCCACCCTTTAGGGCGAGGGCGTGAAGCTGTTTTCCTGCGAAGGGCATGTGCAATGAAGCCGAGGCTTTGAAGACGCAGGGAAAAGTGAAGTCGTTGGGGAGAACAGACTCGCGGCGCATGTCAGAAAAGTGATGGAGCGCGGAGGTGAAACGACGGTTGTGAACGCAGCCGGAGATGAGAGAGGTCCAGGTGACGACGGTGCGGGGGTTGGTGAGTGAGAGAATGAGTTGAGCTGAGTTGAGGCGGTCAAGTTTGGAGTACATGTTGACCAGATGGTTGCAGAGGAAGGAGGGGAGAGGGGTGTCATGGATTCTGAGAATGAGCGCGTGGACGGCCCGGCCAAGCAGGGAAGAGTGGGTTGAAACAGCTGACTCCAGCAAAGAACCAAGCAGGTTTGGAGAAGGCGCGTTCATGGATATGACGATGATCCAAAAACAGAGTGCATTCTCTTCTCTTCACCTAGCTTTCGTTTTGCTTTTACTTCAACACGTCATTTGAATTTTTTCACATATAATTAATACTTACTTATACGAATCTACGTGTCCTATATAAAAAATACAAGCTAATTTGCAAGAGTGGACTGGGTTCCACCAAAACGAAGAAAATGGGCTACTTAATTTAACATACAATGTTTTTTGTAATGGACTGGACTGGGCCGAAAGAAAAAGCATTGGATGTTTTAATACAATTATTTTTGCGTATAAAAAAGAAAATAAAATGAGCGAAGGAATATAAATGAAGAAGCATGAGAGAATATGGATTGAAGCATGAAGCATGCAAAAACAAGAACAGTGGCTAGCTACAAAGCTATCCTCATGTAGTAGCCCTACAAAAGAAGCAAATGGTGGTGAGTACCCCATTCCCCATGATATTAAGAAGAAGACAAAATCGCTTTTATCACTCCCAATATATCCTGCTTCACCACAGCTAATTAATTCCAATATAACAGTTTTGTGTTTTTATTTATTTATTTATTATTAAATTAAATTATTTTCAGTTTGTTTTGTTTATTATTTTCTTACGTTTATTTTTATCTAAAGCAGTTGTAACTAGCATTTTTTATTTTTTTTCAATTTAAATTAATTTATATTTCGATAAATTCATTTTTATTTTAAATTTTTATTCTTTTCGAAGCTAGATTCATATATATATATATATATATATATATATATATAGACTTTAGTAATTAGTTTTTATACTTTGCCTGTTTTTCTCTCTGTTTCTTCCTTCCTCGGTTTATTTTTCTTACTATGTTAGTTATATATTATCTAATTTTCAAACATATTTTGTGTAAAAAATAATTAAATATATAAAGTGATAATCTTATAAAATAAGTTATGACTATATAAAAAATAATATTACATAAAATAAATTCTGAATTATTAAAAGTATATATATTAGATGCAATTTTTCTATAAATAAAATTTTTTGATCTCTTAATGAAATGTTAGACTGCATATAAATTATTTGGGGATTTTTCATTTTGTATTTTTAATCAGCTAAGTTTTAACTTACTCTAATGTGCATATCTTATGTGAAGTGAGACGTGTAGAAAAAGGGATGTTGGAATGGATTCAATATAGCATGTCAAATCATGTCCAAACTTCAATTTTGGTGCGTGTGTCTTTGGGTTGTTTTATTAAATCTTATATTTTTCTTGTTCTTTTTCTTAGATGTAAATTTGATCTATTGTATTAATTTTTCGAACAAGATAGTAAAACATGCTGACGATATTTTAATAATAGAAAAATTGATGTGTTGGATAGAGGATCTAATTAAATCTAAAATCACTTTCAATAGGATATGTTGCGTAGGGTGCTGTGCTATCTTCTATCTAAACTACCCCATGAGATTCATTGTTTCATACGAAACACAGGACATAATTAATTCATTGAATCCAACTTCTCAATCATGAATTTTTTTTTAAGTTGTTAAAAGACTTGATATACGTTTTATCTAATTTTACTGTTATTTTCTTTAACACTTATATTTATTAATATAGGAGTAATGGTTTTTCTTATATAAATCAATAGTGAACTTATATATATAAAAAAATCCAATATTATTTTCGACTTAAAATTTCGAATTATCATTTTTGTGATTTTTTTTCTTTGTATAGTGTTCATCTAATTTATTTTTATACAATATAAATTTCAACTTTCACGTAAACTTCAACGAATTATAATGCTTCTTATATTGTGTGAAATTTAATTAGAAAAAAAAGGGAATTATATTTGCTATTGAGCATTCATATTGTAAAAAACATGAGTTCACATTGAACGTGCACTTTCTACACAGGAGTTTTCCTTTTACCGTTTTGTAAAATTAAGAAAGATAAATAAATAGAAATAAAAAGGGCATGGTGTCAAATTCTAACAACAAATATTGCAACCATAACCTCAAAATGAACCTTATTTATTAAGATGTAAGATAATAAATAATGGAAATGAGAGGGTAAGGGTGTAATTACATTTAATGGTTCTTAACACAACAGCAAAATGTTCCTGTTGTTGTCGTATGTGTGGAAAGAAGGATATAATTAAGAAGGAGCATCTTACATGTTTAGCCTTTTCTAGAGCAGTCCCTATCATTAATGTTTCTAATACTACTATTAATTAACTCAGTGGTAGTGTTCACCATGCATGTTTATATTGTTAAATATGATATTAATATATAAACAATGTTCTTATCGTTCAAGTGAGAAGTATGTAAGGAAGTTGGTACAGTCGCGTAGGGCTATTGAACTCTCCTCTACCCCCACTCAAAGTTAGCTTATGCCATATAAACTTATTGTCCAAATGAACATGGACATATAATAATAATAATGCATACACTTAAAGACAAACAGTCCGGTATATAAACTTACCTAAACCAACTACTTTTAATCTATAATTAAAATTAATTATGTTCAAAACGATAAGAGTATCCATTTTTTGGCCGTAGTTGTTGAAGCTCTCTTTGGATACCCTTTGTTTGTCCCCAAGTTTCCCCTACAAGGGACATTAAATAAATAGCAATTATTACGTAGGGTAAACACAAAATGTCTATTCTAATGCCATTCAAACCTTTTTATGCTCAATGCCAATTTGAGTTCTTCCACGCTAAGTAACTCTTGGCTCCGGCTAAACATTTTTCATTTTCTAGACCAACTGGGGATTTGAACCCCAACACCCTCCACTGGACCTTGTGAATTTTTTCGGTGTTTATAAGAATTGAGAGAATTTCAAACAAATTAACTATTTTTTTATGCTTTAGTGTAGGGAATGTGGAGTCCCAGAGACACATTTTCTACCAACAAGGATAACTGATGAACTGAATCAATGTGTGCGTAAGTAATAATAGAGACATTGAAAGCTGGATATGTGACTCAGAGGAATGAAAATGCAGCAATACACAGCTCTGAGTTTGGTACATTAGATTCAGTAAACTGTTTGTTTCTTTGGCTGTTATACACTAAGCATTTTTCTATAGGTAGTTTGGTTGATGGCAAAATGCTAAAGAACCTTATCTAGTGCTGTTTTTTTTGTTGTCACTTGTCAGGTTACTCCCTCCCTCGTCCTTGATTGGTTTTGTACTTGTTTCTGCTTTTGATAGTGCATTATTTTCATGGGGTGAAAAAAAGCTGAAAAGAAGTTCTGCCACCTGCAACCTGCAACCTCAACTCCCCCTCCCTCCATTAATTAATCCTGATATTCCTTTTCATCCTTCCCACGACCCCTCATATCATATGGTCCCAATTTCCTTTCATCAACGTTCAATATCATTGTTTCTACAAGCTAAACTCACATCCTACAGGCTCAATGTTCAAACTCAGAGATACTCACATGCTTATTTTACTCTTAAGAAAGTAAAAACCATTCGAGTTATGAGGAAATTAATATCTGTGTAGAGGACATGTGGCTGGAGAGACAAAACAAAGCCCACCATTGTACCTTACCACATACAAGAAAAGCAAGGTGCTCGTGAATTAGTGTGCAGAACTCCCCTGCTATTCATCTAGTTAATTATACCATTATAAGGACCACACATAGCAACAGCAATAACAAACACAAGGACAATAAACCAACCCTGCTTGTCACCCACTATCCCCATCACCAACGTCACGCAACAATTCCAACAAAATTTGACACCGAGCTTTTTCTTTGAAACCCGGAGAGAGTATAGTAAAGTTTAGTTATTTTACATAATGGGAACAGAAAGAAAGAAGCAGCAGCCCTATATACTCTTTTAATATATTATTATGAAACAGGTTCATCGAAACACACCAACGTCTCTCTGCAACGCATACACACACCTCCTTGTCCTTGGTTTCGCTAACTTAAGCTTTTTGATCGTCAAAATACAAGCGCGGCTCTGCTACCTCTTTTCCCCAAGACAAAGATACAAAAACTAAAAAAAATAGAATCCCATGAAGTGGATCGCACAACCGCCAATATGTTTTTTACCTCGTAACAAAATAAAATAACTTGAAACGAACCTCGTGTTAATGAGTTAATGTTTTATTTTTCTTTGTTTAGAGCAAGTTTCCTGAGAAGCTACGGTGGCGCCGGTGGTGGTGGTGCGTCCGACAGGGGGTGGAGGAGAGGAGTTGGAGAACAAGGTCGGTGAAGGCGCGAATGATGTACTTGTGGGTGTGAGTGGGGTTGAGAGCGAGGTAGCATAGCAGAAGTTCGTGGAGGTAGTCCCAGTCTTTGGTGATGTCTAAGACTTGGCGTGAACGGATCATTTCGTGCATTGAGCGGAGGAAATCGACGTAGGGGTTGAGGGAGTACTTGGGGACTCTGACGCCGCCGGCGGTAGGGAGGAAGGTGCGGGTGTCGGGGGACTCCACGATGGAGTTGGAGGTGCCCGGGGAAGAGAAGAAGAAGCGCTGGGAGGCGAAGACGGAGGCGAAGTCAGGCTCCGTGGAGGAGGAATCGGCGGAGGATGACGTGGGGTGGGAGAAGGTGGTGGAGTTGTCGGTGGATGGTGGAGGATGAGGGTGGTGGAGAATGGTGGGGTATTTGAGCTTGAAGAAACAGAGGTGAAGGTGTTTGGAGAACAGGCTGGGCATGTTTGTTTAGAAGAATGGAAGGCAGAGAGAAAAGAGGGAAGGACCAGGGAAACAGAGTTTGTTTGTGTGAGCTTTATATAAACTTCCACAACTGTCTTCGGTGTCTCTTCACAATCACCAATCATACACAGACACATGCTACATTTAATATAAATACATTTTAATTATCAATATTTCATATACTTTTATTATTCAATACCATAATATTTTACATCATACTGTTACTTTTTTTTTTTTATCTCTTTCTGGGAATAAATAAACGCAAGGTGTTGGAAATTTTGTTACGTAGAGGACGTTTAGCCTCAGAGTGTTTTAATATACTGTGTTGAACTTGGAATTTTTGTAAATATAAAAATGTCAACCTGTTATACTAATTTGTAATAAATTATGAATTTATGGTGTGCACTTGTTACATACCATTAAAGGATTGTTTGATGTTGATAGTAAAGTGGTATCTCTGAGTGTATAATGTATGTGATAGATTGAGGAGGAGACAGGAGTGGAAATGGGAAGAGGTTTGTGTGGGAAATAGGAGGGCTAACGTTAATTTTCACAGTTTTTTTGTGATCACGGGTTTTCCGTTTGTCTGTTAAGGTTATATAATTCATAACTTTCATTTGGTCCCAACAACAAAATGTCGTAGTAAATCTTATGTCCCTTCCTTCAAGGTAAATTGCATTCACTCTCAATTTTAAATCATATCCTCATTGTTATCTACATTCCTTTTTTTAATGCACCATTGTTTCTGAATTACACACCTTTTTAAATATGAATTACATTAACATAAAATTGTAAAAAGTAGCGTACCATTTTTATTTTTTTTTCATAACAAGGGGAATCCCTACACATGGAGGGTCCCGATGGAAGACTCACACCAATTCTGTTCCAGGTTTTCCTTGAATATTTTTTTTTTAAAAACGTAGTTTTTTTCTCACATGTGTTTATTTGGATTAAAAATTTGGTTTTATGTCTAGTAATATTATAAAAAATATTGCATTTAATAATTAAGAATAGTGTGGCAACTTGCATGTGCAGATATAGAAGTTACATTTTATTTTAACATAGGGATACGATATTAATATATAAATCACTCTCAAAAGAAAAAAAAATATATATATATATATGTATATACACGTAATTAATTATATATCGTTCTGTAAAAAAATATTGTTGTGTTTGGTTATTTTAAAATTGAAAGTTACTATTTTTTTTAATATTATTTGGCTCGCTTAATTATTTAAGAAAGATCAAATAATAACACTCAGTAGTGTTATAGTAATAACACTTTTTAAAACTTTTAAGATTATAAAATAATTGTTATTTGTATATCTTAAATTGGATATTCAGATAAAAATTTGATAATGATTTTAAATTTTAAAAAGACAAATGTAAAAGAAAATAATTTATTGAAACTAAAATTAAAATTTACATATTTTATAAAGATTAAAAACAATAATTAAAAATTTTACATGAAAAATAAAAAATATTATAAAGATCAATCGAAACTTGCTCACAACTGTTAAAAACATATTTAAGTTAAGAAAAATATTATTTGTTGGTTGAATATTAAATCCGACGAGAGTAAGCATAATTGGATATTTTATTATTTTTCTTTTCTTTTCACACTTTTACAATAATAAAATTAGTTTTTGACAAGTAAAAAGAAAATAAAAAATACATAAAAACAAGAGTGGACTTAAAAACTTATTTAAATAATTAAACTGATCTAAAGATTAGAATTGAAACAAATGATTAATTAAAATCTCTGATTCAATTTTATTTTATTTCATATGCTAAAAATTAAATCAAATTACAGATATCACTGTCACATTACAATTACATTGATCATATGTTAATTTTCTCATTCTAAATCTAAATAAACCTCAACTCAAAAGCCATGAAGTATTTTTTAAACTTTTTTATATAAATGTGTATTTCTGATTTATAAAACTTATTATTATTTCCATGATTTAAAATTTAAGCAGAATCATTTTTATGATAAGATTTAAGACTTTGATTTTTTAATATCTTTTATTAAATATTTAACATTTTTTTTAACAAGTCTTGTTCTTAAAAAAAAAAAAACATTAGAAAATTTTGTAAATGTCTTGTTTTTACTTTTATTCTCATTTCTAAAATTTTAAAAGTTGCACCATTCAGGAAAATAAACCTGGGATAATAGACATACTCACGTGTACTATTAAAACCTTTTAACCATTGAAGATAAAAATTTAATAATTAATTGTGTTGTAGCTCAGTTACACACACAAGTTACATACGAGATTCATAGAAATAGTTACATTGCAGATGAATCTATCTCAAAGGACAAAGGAAATATAATCACTCACTGATTTCAACGTCAAAAATTGACTTTACAGATAATTTGATTGATTTAAAGCTTGAAAACGCTTTTGTGAATTTCAACATGAAAATGAAAAAGAAAAAATTTGCTTTGAAACTAAAAATATTTGATACTCTTTCCCTTTTAATCCAAACATGCACTGTCTCATCCTAGTGCCAGTGGAATAGTACTCAAAATTTATCAGGTAAACAAATATTATCCATTTTAGAAATAAAACAAAAACTGAAATAATAAAGTGCTTGACTAAATAATTCGATAAATAAAATTATACCATTATTCAATAATTAATTACTCTAGATTTATTTTAAGTAAATATTACAAAAATTATCAATATCATCATATATAGTAATTTATTATTAAATAATTGTATTTCTTTCCTTTTTGAATCATTTTTTACTCAAAAATTATAATTAAATTCATAAAAATCAACAAATAATAACAATTATCACATAACTTTCAGCTTAATATTAAATTGTCATCAGAGTAAATTAACAGTGGTTAGAGTAACTGTAGATACGATTCATATAAGGATGGTTTGATTCCACTGTGAAGGAAAAAAAAACTGCAAAAGAGTAATTTTAGCTTCCTAGTTCCAATTAAAATTAGAAATGTCTCCTCTCTCTACCATGAAATGAGAGATTAAAATTAATCTTCCAGTACACACTTTTTTTTATGTCGATTCTTACATTATATTTTTCTCTGTTTCCTTATTTCTGTATTACATATATGTATATGCATGGCATGTCTGGTATTGAAAGAGGAAGTGGGAACACACTTAAAACTTGTTGTTATTGGTGATGAGAGGGTTTGTTTGTAATGTGCAGTTGTCCCATGTGAGTGAGTGTCCTTCGTTTCTTCCTCCTCCAATGGAATCACGTGATTGCATCATCATCTTTGTCCTTCCCACCATTTCCCATTTACAGTTACATTCTCTCTTTCTTCTGGGTGGGGGAGCATGTCTCTCACCCTCCTTTTATCTTCTCTCATCAAAACATTCTTTTATAATGATAAATCTTTTTAATTTTTTACCTCACAGAAAGATTTAAGCAAAAAGGGTAGGTATGTAAATTATGTTGGCGTGCATTTTTTGGATCTCTCCAACTATTGGAAATAAGAAATTACAAGATTGGAGTTCTTAAAACCAGACTAGAACCAGGGACATATATATATGTCACACACAAGCATCGAAGAACAAAATACATGCATGATTCTACATCACCAACTTATTATTCACTACAAACACATCAACACACATATTATTCACTACAAACACATCAACACACATAAACAACATGTTACTTCAAATTTTCATTGATCCTAGCAGCCGCCGCCACAGAAGCCGCTACGCCGCCGGGAGTGGCAGTCGCATCCGGGTTGTTCCTCAACTCAGCACTCGCCACACCCTCCGCATCTTGCAGTGTCGCCGCCTTGTCCTCGGCCAACTTGGCGGTGGCTCCGCTCAAAACATCGGCCAGCTTTACCTTATCCTCATCACTATTGCAGTCAGAATTATAAGCAGCCGCCGATTGAGCCATAGCCGCCAGCCCACCCGGCGCCGTAACATTGTTTCCCGTTGCCCTCACCTCGGCCGCCTGAATAGCGGAGGCGTCACTCTGATCCACCGCTTTATGACCCACAGTCAGGGCCGTCGCCTCCAACGCTTCCCCTATGGTTATTGCACTCTCTCCAACTGCACTAGCTCGTCTGGTCTGAACCGGAGTTGGTTCAGCATACTGCTGCACAACCTTCAATTACAGGATAACATACAACTAACTCATTAGCCAAACACAATTTCATTAACTCAAATTTTTTATAGCGTACCGATCCTCTTATTATTTCATAAGAGCCTAGTATTTGGAAAATAGTAATGTTCTTAAAAAATAAAAGTAGAACCTTGCCACCGACAGCCTCGGTGATTATGCGTCTTCCAGGAACTTGAGTTTCAGAGACTGTGACGCCACGGTCACCGGCAACGTCGTTGACGTCCCGGTGACCAACAAGGCCAGCCTGTTCGTTCTGATTGGCAGCGGATTGCATGATGGAAGCTGCTCCGCCGAGTTGGGTTTGGCCCAACACTCGAGTTTCTGCACTTTGCATCATGGCAGCATCTTCCGGTGCAACGGGCTTCTTGGCAAGGTCGCCTGAGACATCGAAAACGTCGCCGTATCTGATGGGGTCCTGGCCTGGTTGGGGACGCCTTGGCTGCTTCTGACTCATCTTCTCCGTATGGTATGTATGATAATTAATTTGAGTGTGTTTAATTGGTTTTGTAATGAAGTTTGGTGTAGAAAATGTGGGTATAAATAAGTAGTAATGGAGGTGGAGAGGGTGAATACGTGGCCAAACGTTACACTTGGCAGCAAGATCAGTGGTGTCATGGGAACGTGTCATCCTCATTTAATCACCATCTAGCTTTTGCATTTCCTTTTACAGAACTTGATGCAGTCTGTATCTTATTTACAAAAGCTAATTATATCTTTTAACGGTGTCACTTGTTTTCCACTGATTCAAATTGAACATGAACTGGAAGTTTCAAATATATATAGTATTTATTGATTAAAGACATGAAGCATTCAAATTGATTATTGGCGGTGGACGGTGACAATGTAATGTCATTTGGGTATTCCAGATATGTCTATACTTCTTAGAAATAACTAAAGACCATCAATAGAGTCGCAAACCACCTTTTTTGTTCGCAGATCTTACCCCAATAATTTATATTCAATTGTACTTCTTTTCATCTTTTCTTGTAATTCTAGCTCTTTTGACTTAGTTGTACCCTCACGAGTGAATGGGAATGAATTCTACATTTTTAGTCCATTAGATTTTTTTTTTTTTTTTAAATTGCATCATAATTTAATGCAGAAAGTTTTATCATTTTTAGCTTTCAAAGCATTCGACCTTTTTTCTTTATCAGCATCTATCCAAATACTTTTGGGCTTTTGCTTTTCTTCACAAATGTTGTCCTCTATTTCTTTCTCTATTTTTTTTTAACTTTTAGATTAAATAATTTGAAAAATTACCTCACAATTCTAGGAAATTCTCGGATTAGAAGGTCCACACTATTTCTGGCCATAAGAATGTTAGGATTTCCCCAAAAATATTATCTTAAGCTTTATAAATAAAAATATTTTATAATCTCTTTAATGAAAAAAAAAAAAATACATGTGGCTGGTATGTATGTTATTTTTAGGCATGAACCTTTCTCCTTTTTGAGGCCCTACGTGAAGGTTTGGAAGAAGAGATGGAGAGAGATCCTCGTGTACGTGTCATGGGTGAAGATGTAGGTCATTAGGGAGGATTTTAAAAGGTGAGTAAAACCGTAGAGTTTTAGACACCCGTATTACGGATAACTCCTTCACAGGCATGGGGAATGGAGCTGCCATGACTGGTTTGAGACGAGTGGTTGAGGGCATGAACATAAGATGTACACCTTCTAGCATTTGTGGGCCTGATGGAGTTGAACAGCAATTTGGACCAGAGCACTCTTAGCAATTGGACTCGTCATCCCTGGAATCTAGATGGTGATTTGCTCAATCTCTTACAATGTCAAGGGCTTGATGAAAACTATAATCAGTTTTTTTTTTTAATGCAGAAAAACAGGTCTATGTGCATGCTCGATACACATCCATCGATTAAAATTTTTCGGACGCTTGTTCTGATCAATCCACAAAGTTCCCGGATCTATTAATTCAAAACGTTGCTTGATTAAACATAAAAAAGGGTAATATCATCTTTTATAAAATTAACGAGCGCGGGTTGGAGAAAGAGCACGGAATGACAAAATACAATTTTATTGACTTCCCCACACGTATAATAAGAGGTTCCAAAAAATCATTCTTTTTAAGGGTCTCTTTCACCATTAGATGGGTTTGGTTAATAAATTCGCCGTCTTTAAAAATCAAAACAGTATTAAAAAGAATTGGAATATCTTTTATTATGCGTGACATTGTTTTATTCAAATTGCTTGTAGGTAAAGTATTCTAGAAAATTATCAATTACGGTAATTATCAAAAGGAATGATTTCTTTTAACATTTATGCAGCAGCTGCTAGATTTGTCTGTTAAGATATTAATCACAAACAGAATTAGCATTACAAGCATCTATGTAGTATAATCATTTTGTCTTTTTAAAAGATTTATTTACGAAAAAATGAAGCCGAAATGCATAAATACTAAGCAGTATTGCAGCGCGAAATACTTAATTGCGTATTAATGATAAATGGAAATATCCAGCCAAAGCTAATTATAAGAAAAATCAACCCATATCAACTGAGGACATCAATCTATCAGTAACTTGATAATGAGACTAGTACGAAAGTGCGAGACGTAAGTGACGCATGATTCTAATGTAGTCTCAATATACAAACAGGGCATACTTCAATACTTTAGCAGAAGAGATGAGATTCAAATGCAAGCATATAAAGCATTGGGTAACTTTGTTCAAATGCCAATAATACATCTAAAATATTTAACAAGATCGTCTTACTCATCACATTAAGTAAACTGAACATACTCATCCATTCAGTATCCAAACCAAAGCAACAACATATGCGAAGCCAACCCACGACATGCAGAAAATTGTATCTATATCCATACAACCTATGTATTATACAAATCTCCATTTATTCCCAAATAACATGTCTGTAATGCCATGACTGAATTTAAAATAAAACATATCACGCGGGTATAAACCACAAGCAAGGTTATTCTTTGAAATTTACATAGGACAAGTCAGAACAAAGACAAACAGACAAAGAAGCACGGTTGACAGTCCAACACGACACCAATCATAGGACTCAACATGGCAATGATACTACATACAAAATTAATTTAACATCAACCTAAAATTACAAAATTTAAATTACGAGAGAATTCATGTTTAAACTATGAGGATGACTCCTTATGAAACTAATAAAAATGCTAAATTTATCTAATTATTGTGATTTTCCGATCAATATTGATGTAAATTTTTTAAAAGAAGTTAAATATTATAAAAATATGTAACCAAAAGAATTTGAACTTTTGAAGTGTAAAAGTGTCCATACTTCTTAGCAACCAGACAACTTATCAACCATGAGAACATAATATCAAGAATCAGAAGTTCTTCCTTTTTACAACAGAGTGAGAATCATTTTAGTTGATCAAGTGGAAAACCAAACAGGTCATTAGAAGAATATTTCGGAAAAGATTCGAGACGTGCTTTTCACATACTTACAATAACATCAAAAAGCAGAGGATAACCATACAACTAACCCCACCCGAGTCTTTTATCAGATGATTATGATTCATGAAACCACTATACATCGCAATGAGAAGCTTTCCATGATAAAAAAAAAATAGTGAGAATAGGAAATTCCTGCCAAACATCCTACAATCCCGTGACGGCAAAATATGAAATTTCAGAGTTTCAGCCATTCTATCAAACGGCTTGAATGCAATGAAACGAAGATTAAAAAGAGAGGCAGATCACCCTATCAAACAGCCTCATAAAACACTTCCAATCCAAAGGACCAAAATAAAAATAAATTAATCGTGGAAAATCACACAAGTAAATAGGAAAAGTTGAAAAAATAATTACATTATGTCCAACTAACCAGTTCTCTTGATACAAAATTTACTTAAAAATTTTACCTAACACGACCTTCTAACAAAAATTTCTCAAAAAATCTCAAAGTTGCAGAGTCCAGATCCCTTTCAGAAAGTTCACATGCATTTTAAGTCAATAAACTGTTTAGGATACAATTAGTTGAACAACCAAATTTTGCGATAAAGAAAAAAAGAGAATTTCCTCCCTCCTCTTATTTATGTGTTTCCCCCACCCTTTCAAATATTAATTTTCAATGTTATGCTAAAATCGTGTATACATTAACTTTGTTTCCTAAAAAACTAGGTTGACATTAATCTAATCCCTTAATCAAATGAATTAACACTCAAACATCCTTTGTGCATAAGCCATGTGATTAAGAGACTAATTGATGTCAATTTTTCTATCACTGAGCGAACTAATATATTCTCCATCTTTCACTCATCATTCACGATCCAAACTATCATCAAGACAACAGTTTCTCTCCCCAAAATTCTTACCACCTAAAGCCAAAAAACTGCCTCATACAAAGTTAACCAATCTCATAAATAGAGTTATCTGCATGATGGCTGGCGAGAAAATAAAAGAGCACACAAACATAGTTACACCTATTTACGAAAATTGCCATTGCCATGAATAAACCATTCTCCAGATAGAACATTTTTGTTCCTGATTCAACAATAGCAACATAAAATTCACAGAGAAACTAGTTCCAACAACAACCTGAAATCTAACCAGCATACTAATATGGCCACGTTTGGAAGGCAACAAGGAGTTAACGAAAGAATCATTCATTACCTCACCCACTCATTCATCATTACTGTACAAGCACAAGCCTACCACCACCCATGCCTCTATCACCATCCCCATCCTCCTCTCCATGCCCCTTCGGCACCGTGACGATGAGCTCGCCGTCGACGAACACCGCGCTCGCGAGCTCCGGCCGCGTCGATTCCGGCAATCGGAACCTCCACATATCGAGTTCAAGCTGGTCGAGCGAGAGCTCCACCGAGCCGCCGTCCCTCACCACGATCTTGGTCACGCCGGGGTGGATTTCCACCGTGTGCGCCCTCACGTCGCCGATGCCGTCAGTCTCCGCCACGAAGCGGAAGCAATCAGGGGCCTCCTCTACCACCACGTCGGCGTCAGAGCGGAACGGGAGCTCCAAGACGCAGCTGAACACATGCGGGAGTCGCCGGAGCTTCTTCCCGGCGATCCCCAACAGCGCCTCCGACTCCGACATGGGGTTGCCCCCGTCGACGCCAAATTGGATTGAGATGTTGCGTTTTCGCGGAACAGGGTGGACCTTCATGATGCTGTTTTTGCTAACGCGGAACGCTGCAGAGGATTGCGCCAAGAAGATTAACACCGTGATGATGACGTTGGTGATCAGAGGCACCTTTTCTATCATAAAGGAACGGTTGTTCTTCTCCTTCTTCTTCGTCCTCCTTCCCGCTTTCTCTTTGGGCGAAGACGATGAAAACCCTAACCCTAATTTCAATTTGCCCGCTAAGATCGCGTTTTGCGGATGGGAAAGCTGTGATTCCTTTTATTATTGTTATTATTTGTTTTCCCTTTGCGGAGAAAATGAGGGAGAGATTGAGATGTTGCGCGGAATTGATGAAATGTGTGAGCATAAGAGAAGAAGATAACAGAAATAAGTGCGTGCCGAGAAGAAAGAAGAGGATAATCTCGATTTTATCTTACTCTGTTGCCCTTCTCCTTCTTTTTATTTACTATTTTTGTCTCCCCTCAATTATTAACATTTTCTCGCAAACAAAAAACTAAATATTAACTATCAAACTGAAAATTCTACACCTTCATCCTGCATAATTTTTTTTTTTTTTTAGTATACCTTAACGAACTATTTGAATAGATGTATTTTAAATGATTAATTATTAGATCAATCTTGACATGAGATAATATGGGGGATATGAAATTATAAATGATTTAGTGCCATCAAATGCTTAAACAAATTAATTTCATACTTATGGTAAAACTTAACTTGATACCATTATTTAAGTTAAATTCTTAATTACAAGGAATTTATTATTTGCTGGCTTTTTTATAAACATAAAGTATTTATGAAAATCACATATTTTGAATGATATATTATTGTGTTGTGTTTCAATATTTGTCATGAATTAAGTGAACAGGATAAAAATGATTAATTTTAATCCAACTAGTTCATTAAGTTTGGATAAAGAATTTGGAAGTGAGTAGCATTACTTTAAACCTAAAAGGTAAATTGTGACTAGTATAGAAATTGTGAATTGTTTTCTTGAAGACATGACCTACATATAATATCAAACCTAATGCATCTTGGACTACTTCAAAATCAAACCCAAATGACAAAGACCATGAGAAATTGTAGTCACATAATATAAAAGGGTTCTAACCATTCCCTCTTCCTAGTATTTATCCTCTAAATTAGGATCATCAAACTTCATGTCTGTTACGTCGTTGGAATGAATCTCTACCACATTTCACCACACTCTAATTAATACCTATAAATAAATATACTTGCCCATTTGAATCCTTCCTTGAAGGAACATTTACACGTTTAGACTTTCAACCACTACTTAATTTACACGCAACTCATGTTCATAATTATTTTAATTCATTTTAAATAATCTAATTATCTTAATATAAATATCTTCAATGACCTTAATACAAACACATATATTAATCATAGTTACCTTAATCATTTTAAATTAAAATATATATTATAATCATTTTAACTATTATTATTATTACATTTTCTATTGATTAAAAAGACAAAAATAAAATAAAAATACAAAGTAAAAAAAACTATATAATACTATCATATGAGATAATAAAATAATTTTTATAATGCTATAATTGATTAAAAATCCAATCCTTTTTAGTACACTAAATATGTTATTATTAAATTTTGTTTTTTCTAAAAGAGGATAGAAAAGTATTTAGGTTTGTTTCTTTTGTCGCTGAGGTTGCCGCGAACCTTCCTAGAAAAAGAGGGCAAGCAAACAATGCATTTTCTTTTATTCTCGCAACGCGTCAGTTTGTATGTTCATTAATTAAAATTGGGCTTAAATAATTTAAAAGTTCAAAATTTATAACTATTTTTTCCAAATACGTAAAAAAATAATTATATATTTAATAAATTATAAAATTAAGTTCAAATTTCTGAAAAAAAATTGTTTCTACTATTTTTGCGTTGATTTTTTTTTCTTTTAATCCTTAATTTTTTGTTTTTATCATAACAATTCATATATTTTCTGACATGTCATATAACTTATAATCATAACAGCTGAAATTTACTTCTTGAAATTATTGGAATGAAATTTGCTAACAGCTGAAAACATAATATTATTTTTATTTGATATATTGAAAACATTAGTAAAATCCATAGAAAAAAATATATTAATATTTAATGTTCAAGAATAGTGGTAATGAGTGTTAGTCACTTTACAATAATTATTGTAAAACACAAACTTAGAAGTTCATTGTAAAAGATGCTCATCATATGACTTTTGTATCCCTAAATTATTACCTATTTTAAAAATATTAAATATGTTGAAAAATAATAAAAGATAATGTAAATACTTTTTTTATTATTGTTCAAGTTAATTTTTTTTTTTACGAGATAAATCATCCTATTATTGACATATATAGATCGTAGCCATTATACTAATGCATGGGATTTTAATGAGAGGTAGTGATGTAAGTGAGGCAAATTGACAGCACATGATATACGACATTAATCTCCATTCTGATACAAAAGTTGAGGATGTAAGGTAACATCAAACGTCTCAATTAAGTGAACTTTTGACGTATCCCACGTTGTGGTCACTATCACCATTCTTGCATCTGTTCAATGCATTGATATCATTACTGGACTAAACTTCTCACACTGAATTCTATGTGCACAATCCAGTGTAGGGATTGGGTCTGTGGCAGAAGCCATTGGAGTTGGGTAGGAACAAAATTAGAGCAACCTTACACAACCAAATTTTCTTTATATGTAAAATTAATTATAAGCTTTAAATATTGTGTTATAAGCAACTTGATATGATGAAACCATCTTAATATTATTATCTCCTTTGTCACTTTAGTTAGGTATTGGAGGAGTCATGGAGAGTGTGACGTGGGAATCATGTGAATATAGCAATGATAGGTTTAATTACAATTGATACATTAGTAATGGTAACTTGGCTTACAAAAAGTAAAGTGATCATTCCAAGAACTAGGCAAAAATATTTCAAGACACTCAAATCAAAATTGAGATAAATATGTACAAAGATTAAAAATATATTAGGCAATAATATAACAATGCCTATGATATAGATGTGACAATTTTAAGTTAGATGGTCGTTGTCCAACTCAACACTCAAAGTATAAATCATTTGACCACATGACTCAAATCATTTACTCCAAAGATCATAAATTTAATTCAAATGAAAATAATTGTAAGATCTAAATACATTCAAATTTCGTTTTATTTATAAGGGTAAGACAATATAGTATATATTATGCAAAAAATAATAGCCAGAGTTAACAAATCTTTTTTTTAGTATTTAATAATGAATCTTTAACAAAAGAATACCAAATTGAATTGAAACGGCATAAAATATAATTCCTTTCCGTCCGAAGAGAATTTTGATGAATTGGAATCTAAGAAAATAGATTCAGTGTATATTGAGAGCAAGTTCAATTTATATACTCTGGATTGTTCCAATTTGACCTACTACAGCATATCCATATATATAAAAATATTATATTTTTATTTTAAAATTAATAAATAATAAATAAAGTTATCGAATATATGTATATATAATCTACATTTTAAGAATTATGTGAGATTTTTCAACCATATAATTTATGAAAACAAAATTAGATTGAAGGAGATGTATATACAATGGATGCACCCACATAAATAAGATATAAAAACAAGCTGATAACTCTGGGTCCTAGATGGATGCCACTCTTGATCCTGTTCGTTGTATTGTCTTGATTGATTGATTGATTGATTGGTGGATGTTAAAACATGGATCACAAACAATCCTTTTATTATTTTATATCAATTTATATGTTCTACACTGTTACCTAACTCAGCATTTTCAGTTAATAATCAACGAGTATTATTTTTGAAAATAAATCTTTCATCGCTTCTAAATTCTAATAACTCTTTTGTTGGCCATATTAAGTGCATCCTAACATTTCTTTGATATGACTTGCAACGTGGTGTTACTATTTTTGATACAGAATTGCTGCTACTACCCATCCATGGATATGCACCCATTCCACATTTCTAATTGTAGAAGACGAATATTCTCCAAAACCTGTCCATATATATATATATATATATATATATATATATATATATATATATATATATATATATATATATATATATATATACAGGAATATCAAAGATTACAAGACATAAGTCAACTATAATGTACAAAGAATTGTCAAATTATTGTGACGTTGCTGTAAAAGTTTTTAGAAAATTATAAAACTATAAACACAATTTAGAAAAACTTAAGTGTTCATACAAAATCTAACTTGGATTCATATCTGACATGGTGAAGGTTACTGAACATCATGCAATAAACACGCTACAATTCGACGTCAGTGTTTCTTAGAACGGCACCTGCAGCAAGTGAATCACTGACAAGTTTAGATTTGAAAGAGAGAAGAATATTTTGCTCTCGAGTAGTCATCCTTTTCTAAGAAAAAGGATAGATATTTGGTGACATTGCATGGATCCACGCCCAAAAATAGTTTCAACCAACTTTCTTATGTTTCTAAGCAGCATCATTTTGCTCTTGGTACCCTTTCAAACCATTTTAAATGTACCAACACGACAATTGAAAGACGGGGTGAAAATTGAAACTCAATGTTTGCCCAAAAGTGTAATACAAAACAGACACTGAGCCTAGGTTGATTTTCAACATTTGGGCCATATTTACTTCTATGGGGTGATTTCATCTCATATTTTGCTAGTTTGTTAAGCTGTTATGAAATATATCCTCTTTATAGATTAACATGTCTCTTTTTTACTTTATTAGGTTAAAAAGTTTACTTAAGCGCTCCCTCCTAATTAGATTAATTTTTTAACTACATGTTTAATATACACAAAATTCATCTTAAAGTGTCATAAACTACTAAATATATGATATTTATTATAAGTAAATAAATAGATTGACCTTATACCTAGTGTAACTAAATTGCATTGAGTGACAACACTATGTTATTAGTGAATGAATAAAATAATTGATAGTTTGTAAATATGGGAAATTTGAAAAACCTATTTATTTTATTTACTATTTAAGCAAAACTTAACTTTGGTATTTTGGTGCTTCTTTAAAATGTACCTTGATCAACAATGTTAAGTACTATACACTTTTATATTTTATTTGTTTTGGAAAGTGAATCAGATTTTACATCACACCTTTTGAATAAACCTTTTCATTAATACCCTCCTATTTAAATTTTTGTTGTTTTATTCTTTAAAAAAAAATTGTTTCTAAACATGTGTGGTGTGTAAAATTTAAGATCAAATTAATTATTATTTTATCAATCATATCATTATTTTTTTAATTATATTTATTAAAAAAACAACAAAATATTAAAAATGATTTTAGATGAAGAGAATATTAGGTGATAAATACATATGAAAAAAGAATAATAAGTTTATTAAAAATAATAACATTTAATACAAAAAAAAAAAAATCTTCATTTGTGTAATACAAATTTGAACTACACATAATTACAAATTTATTATAAAAAAGGAAAATGATATACAAATACTTTGAATATGTCACAATACCCACACAAGCCTATTATTTGATATTTTTAACTTCAATTAAAAAATAAACAGAATAGTTGTATTATAAAAATAGAAAATGAGATAGGTTAAATAGATATTTTCTACTTTTTGAAGGTATACATGTCAAGAATTCGATAAAAAGAAAAAATAGATGACAATAAATTCTTTTTGTTTTTTCATCTAAACTTTTGTAATAAGTTGTCCAATACATACACTTGCCTGTATATTGAAATGTAAAGCATTGGAAGGTAAATTCGGATAGTCAAAACATATAAAATGAATATCCAAAATTAACATGTAAAGATACACACTAGAGAACCTAAATCTAAAGAAAATGGAGCTCCTCACAAGAGATGAGGGCAGGACTTAATACTGACGATTAAAGAGCTATAACCCCAAAATCAATCATTCATTCAAGTTAGGTTGGGATTTGAACCCCATTGTTTGCAGTGAATCCATTGAAGCGGTTATCTTCAAAAGCGACAGACAGCCAGAAATCTTTCTTCAGTCTCCCAACAATTTTTGAAATCCTAAACTTGAGGAACTCCAATGCTGCAGAAGACAACCTTGTACCATCAAAAATAGACCTCCTTTGATATTCAAGGACCCAGGTGTTGGAGTCTAATTGCACTACTGAAGCACCCCATTTTGGTTGAACCCATGAAGCATTGGCCTTCCGTATCAAATACCCTACCTGTCCTTCATTCCACTATGTAAACAGATAGACAATGAGTTGGAGTTAGTCAACAACAACAAAAATCCTAGCAATCCGAACTGCGCATGCTGATTAAAAAAAGCAAGACATTGCAGAGAAAAATTCACCTGAGTGACTCTTCCTGATAGGAGAGTGAATGTTCGAGTAGAGAACCCGTTGGTGAGCAATCCTGCTGTTTGCAAAGGCCATCCCCAGATTGTTACCTCTTCTATTGCAGATTTGTACAACGTGCACCTTGAATTCAATAGCAGACCATCCTATACAAAGTTTTACTTGTCTTTTGTCAGCAAGACTGTCTCATTAATAACTGAAGTGAAGAATATAGGATTATGTGCTCTAGTTTACATACTCAAAATTAGCTGTAGTCTCTACATTTTAAAAATGCTAGTTTTAGGGTTACGGACAAAATTCACCATATTTAACAAATATGAGGACCAGATTTTACCATAGAATCAACAAAAACAGAATCAAGAAGCTTTAGAGTAATAAATACCTGGCTGATTTCCCATGAGGTATCAGTGCAGCTGCAATTTGAAACTTGCCCAACAACAACACTTGCCAACTCTTTGTGCAAAAGCCTCAACTTTCCATTCAAATCACGCACTCGGCTACATTTCTCACCGACCCTTTTGACCACATCCGGCGACAAAGCAGGCTTGAAAGCCCCAGACATCACCGAGGGGAAAACTAGGTCCGCAGATAAAAAGAGTCCAAAAATGAGAAGAAACCTCAAGAAACTGAAAGCAGAGGCTTGCCGTCCCATGTTGTGCTTTTCCATTTCGTGGTTGGAGTCTGATCTGGAACTGGATTTGGAGAGAGGAGTGGATGATGAGAGCTGAAAAGAACTGGATTCGGGAGTGGACAGAACGGAGGCATCGAAGGAGATAGGGGTGCAGAGAACATTGTTGTTGGGTTTGGAAGCAGAGAGCTTGGTGAGGGTGCTTTTGTGGACGCTGGTGGGCATGAGATCGAGGGTGGCATTGATGCTGGCCAAACACATTTCGCAGTTGCAATTGGCATCTTTCTTGCAATCGGGGAAGTAGCAGCTGTTGTCATGGTTATCTTCTTCCCATGTGCTGGATTTTGATTGAACATAAACGTTTCTCATGGCTTCTTCCTTCTCCCAACACATTGTTTGTTTTTATTTTTGCTTTTGATTTTGATTTTTTCACTAGCGCCCGTTGTACCAACCTTCAAATTTGAATCCCAACGGTCACGTTGTTTTTTTTTTTTTTTTTTGCCACTGAACTGCCCAGATACTTTAGGATTTTATTTTAATTTACTTGTTTTAAGGTGTTTTCAAATTTCAAAATTAAATATACAAGAGAACGATTGTTTATTCTTCAAGATTGAGTTTCGAAAAAGTTATTCTTTTCTTGTTTTTTTTTTTCCTCTTTTTACACTATCATCATATAGTAACATTAGTGAAATATCTTTTATTGCTAAAAGAAAATATAAGTATAATAAGTTGTTTCCTAAAAAAGTGTTATTTACAATACACAACTTTTTTTATATCCTTATATTTCTAATATTTTTTTGGCAAAAAATATATATGTGAAAAATATTTAAAAGAAATATAATATATAAAAATCATATGCTTATTTAAAAAATATGTATAATTGAGTTACTCTTTATTAAAAACAAATATTTGGGATAATATATGATATGTATCTTTATTTTAAAAAAATATTACTTACGTATGTTAAGTTCTTGATTATTTTAAAAAGCACACACAATATATATATATATATATATATATATATATATATATATATATATATATAATGTGTATTATGTTTAATCACTAAAAAATAATGAAATTCAAAATTAATGTTTTGTAAGTAAGTAACCACGTTAGTAATGTGTTAAGTAAGTGCATATATTGTGACAGGTAATACTTCAATGTATTTATTTTAACTTTGCAATTCTTTACACACTATTCAACTTTTTGCATTGTTTTTTTAAAGTAAATTTGATTTCTCAAGATTAAATCAAACGTTTTACTTGCAAGTCCTTCAATTTATACTTGTTTAATTTCACAAATCTATATTATTAGTTGAATTGGATTAATTCAGAATTGGTTATTCATCATTATTTGCAAACTAAAATCTTTAACGAATTAATGAATTAAAATTTTAATTCATGCATGTCATCAACTAAAAGCTATAAATACTGTTTGGCTACATAGAATGATAAGAGGATTTTATTCCCAGTATCATATTAAAACTTTGAATCAAACACATAAAACATTACACTGACAAATTAAATCAAATTGAGGCCAATCCTAAAATTAACTCGGATTTGTAGTCTCACACCAAAATCAAACCAAACCAACACATTAAAAGCTTCCACCAAATTATATTTTCATTCTTACCTGCACATCAATCCATTTTTCTTCTTTCTCATACAAAAAATCGAGCTAATAAGTAAATAGGAGTTCAATTTTAAAAAAAAATTGAAATAAAAACATGATAAATAACATAATCTTTACTAAATATCGTTATTTATCTCAATTTTATATTTAAATTTAAAAATTTTATATTATTAATTTTTTTAAAAGCTTTTTTTATATTATATAAAAGATAATGTTTTTTTATCAAATTTTTTATTTTTTTATTTTTTTCAATCTTTTCCATAATTTTTTATATTATTTTTTTTCTTTTACATTTTAACCCTTTATAAATTTTTTTCTTTTTAATTAATTTGATTTTTTTCAATCTCTATAACCAATCTAACGAGTATAAAGTCAATTTTTTTAATATTATATATCAATAATGTATTATTTTATTTTTAATTTATTTTAATTAAATTCTATTATGTTATATTTTTTTGAATTTTATGATTTGTATTTATCATATATTAATTTTTATTTTAATAAAATAATTATATTAAAAAAATTAATAATTAAATTTTTATTATTTTACACAAATTAAATAAAAATCAACTTATTAAATATTTTTTTATAAATTATATATTTCATATTTATTAATATTTTAAATTTACAACTTAAAAAATAATTAATTTATACGTGTAATCAAATTTTTGAATATAATATTATAATATATAATAATAATAATATAAGTAAAACATATTATATTATATATATATTAATATAAATATAATAAATTAAAAAATATATTTAAATAATAATAATAATAACTAAAAAGTTATAAAATTATAATATATTAAAATTAATTTAATATAAGTATAATTATTTTTTAGAAACAATAACATATTAAAGATCGAAAAATCTGAAATGCAATAAAAATAAAAATGAAAACTTAAATTCTATGTTGATAGAAATCAGAAATGAAGACGATTAAAAAAAATGGAGAATGGAACTGCTAGCACCCGTGCGCCAAGATATTTCCACCTACAAAGTTTAGAAAAGTAGCTTACTAAAGTACCCTCGAAGGGTGTAGTAATTAAGGTAGATTAAAATAAAACAATGAGATGATGAAAGGATGTAATGGCCATTAATGAAATAAGTGGAAACTTTCCCCTTTAAGCAGGGTGCTTAAAAAAAAGCAAAACCAGTTTCCATCTCAAGAATTAGCCCAACACAATTTTGGAAGCCATCCAAAATCAAGAAGAAGAAGGAGGAGGTGGTTAACCAAATTCGTATGAGTTTAAAACCTAACTAATTCAAGAATAAAATTAAAAAAAAAATCATTTTTTATTGAAAGTTCTTTAAATCAATCTATTCAGTTCGATTTTCAATTTGAGAATAATCAGCTCAATTGAATCAAATTAAAATTATAAGATATACTATTATAATTAAAACATAAGCACAAGATGACAATTACGGTTAGTCAAAATATTCGTCTTTTATAATTTAAAATATTTATTATTTTTTTAAAATTAAACATGAAAATATAGAAAAATAAATTAAAAATATGAATACCAGATCTCATGCATGATATTTTTATAATATATTTTTTTATTGAATAATTATTTTATTATAATATATTTAACACTTACATGATGAAAAAAACCTTAAAAATTACTTAAACTTAATTGTAAAATATTAATTTAATTTGATTTGATTTTTTTTTCTTAAAATAAAAACCAAACAAAACAAAACCAAACCATACCCGAAATACTCCTAAAGAAACCTTATATTACTATATAAAGTAAATAAAGGAGTTTGAATATTATTATTAGTATGTAATAAAGATTTTTGGTAATGAGTAGTATGAAAGAATGTTTACACATATTTTCTAAACTGTAAAATTTATTATGAAAAATGTTAGATTTAATTAATGAAAACAAACTAAAAATAACTATGATGAAACACAATAGAAAATACAGAACAATATTTAAGTCATTATGTTGGTAGAGAATAGGAGAGAAACCATAGAAAACGATTTTGTTTATCGACAATTGACAAGTCATTTACAATATAGCGAGATTAAAGCATCTTTTTAAAATTTTCAACGTGTATCAATGGAAGGGAAAGTTGAGTTTGGAATGCTTCATGAATGCTGGGCTAAAGCATCTTTTTTTAAAGTGACTTATGTTTATTTTTATCAGAAGTAATTTTCAAAAAATTTAATTAAACATAATTTAATTTAACTGTATTCAGTGGGATGGAACTCAATTTGTACCTCCAAATCCTGATTTGAGGGATGCATGCTAACCAAACCTATTCAAAATTTCATTAATCGATTGACTTGACCACACTAATTCGCATTCAGAATATAAGTGATTCAATATTAATTAGTATAAAGCTTCTAACAAATATAATTTATAAAGACATATTCAAATTATCACATTAAAAAAAATATAAAACTAATTTAATATTTAAAAAATAATTTGTAAAATGAAATTCATATCTTATTTTAATAAAGTAATCCAATTATAGTTCTAATTGATTTGGGACATTATTGTTTAATTTCGTTTAAACTAATTAATATTAGTGAAAAATTTTAACCATTTTTTTATAACTAAACTTTTTATAGATTTTTTGTTACAAGAGGTGAATAAATTAAAATTAGTTTCGATAATAGGTATCATTTCACTGACTATCTCCCTTACATTTTCCGTGTGATTTACTTTATGAAACTTTAAAAATGGTTAAACTTGTATTTTATTGTTTATCTTTTCAAAAAAGTTATAGATAAAAAGTGTGGCTTCTGAATAATGATGAGATAAATAAATTTTAAAAAAATAATGACGTTGTATTTTTCGTCAAAAGAAGGGCATAATAGGATTTGTTGTTCACGTCATAACTTATTCTTTACGGAAAAAATGGTAAAATCAATTATTCATTTTTTTAGTCACTAATCAAAATAAATCTAATTATATGGTCTAATCAAGAGAAAACATGAATTATTTATGATAAAAAAATCTTAAAATGAAGATAAACTTTTTATCGTCTCAAAATATGTGAAAATAGGATTTTTTTAATTATTCAAAAATAGATTATTTAAGTTTATATATTTTTTATTTTAATTTTTCTTCTTCTTATGTGGTTTGACGTAAGTTATAACTTAAGCCTTCACAAAATATTATTATTTTCTTATTTAGGGATAAATTTAAGCCGTTTAATTTTTGACAGCTTGAATTTAAACCACCGTTTTCATTTTATAGCTTATATATTTATGAAAGCTCTTAACACTCTTCTATTTTATTATTTTCAATCAATACCTTTTAAAATAAAATAAGAAAACAATAAAGTTCAAATGCAAAAAAATAAAATGAAATTGATGATTAAATTATTCAAAACTATACAAAAATATTAAAATTTAAAAGTATAAGACATGTTAAATAATTATATCTAAAATATATTTTTAAAAAAATATAGCTGATAATTATAAATGACAAGTGAGAGTATGTTTCTTACTTTGTTACTGCGCATTTAACCATTTGTATATTATTATTATTATTATTATTATTATTTAATCTAGATCGTAATAAAATAATAGAAGATTTTAATATTATTATTAAATTGGCGTATCATGTATTTAGATGTGGTCTTGTCTGTTAAAATATTCAGATTATTATAAATATAAAAAAGAAAATGAAAAAACATACATCAGATATTTAAGTAAATAAAAAAGTTTTTATTTTTATTTTTTATTTTTTAACTCTAAGATTAATTTCCTT